ATAGGAGTTCCCTGGTGGAATTTCTAGGGTTACTTATGTATACAATCATATCATCTGCCAATAAAAACACTTTGACTTCTTCATTTCCAATTTGTCTCCCCTTGGTCTCCTCGGTTGTCTCATTGCTCTAGCTGAGACTTCAAGTGCTCTGTTGACTACATATGGAGAAAGTGAACAACCTTGTCTTGTTCCTGATGTTAATGGAATTTATTGGAGTTTCTCTCCATTTAAGTTGATGTTGGCTATAAGCTTGCTGTAATTTGCCTTTATTATGTTGAGATATGTCTCCTGTATCCCTAATCTCTCCCAGTACTTTTAGCTGAATGGAGTGTTGGCTTTTGTCAAAGGCCTTTCCTTCAGCTAATGAAGTGACCATGTGCTTTTTGTCTTTCAATTTTTACATGGTAGACTACAGTTATCTGTTTATATATGTTGAACCATCCCTGTATCTCTGGGATGATAATTGCTTGATCATGGTGGTTAACATTTTTTATGCTTTCTTGGATTTGTTTTTAAAATATTTTATTAGAAATTTTTACATCTATGTTTGTTGTTCAAATCTAAGATGGTCTTTCAATAAAAATCCCAGAGTCTGATATCAGGGTGAAAGCTGAAAGATCAGAGAAGCAGAACAGACAGCCACTAGTTCTTACCTCTATGAAATCCTCAGCCTAAAGAGAGTGAGTTCCTATTTCCTCATGCCTTATATACCTTTCTCTGCCCTGACATCACTTCCTGGGATTAAAGGCATGTGCACTTCCCAGTACTGGGATTCCAGATGTATGTCACCACTGCCTGGCTCTGTTTCAGTGTTACCTTGAACTCACAGAGAACCAGATGGGTCTTTGCCTCCCAGGTGATAGGGTTAAGGGTGTGTGCCTCCACTGCCTCACCTCTATATCTAATCTAGTGGCTCACTCTGTCCTCTGATCCTCAGGCAAGTTTGTTAGGGTACACAATATATTGCCACATATGTTCATAAGGGAAATGGGTCTTTAATTCTCTTTCTTTATTGTGTCTTTATGTGGTTTGGGTATCAGGTAAACTGTGTCCTCATAAAAAGAATTGGACAATGTTCCTTCTGTTTCTATTTTGTGGAATAATTTAGTGATCATTAGCATTAAGTCTTCTTTGAAATTCTGATAGAAATGTGTGCTAAATTCATCTAGCTCTAGGATTTTTCTTTCTTAGCATACTTCTAATTACTGCTTCTATTTCACTAGGGGTTCTAGGTCTGTTTAAATTGCTCATCTGATCTTGATTAACTTTTGTGAGGGGTATGTATCAAGAGAATTATCCATTTCTTTTAGATTTTTCAATTTGGTAGAGTACAGGTTTTTTTAAAGTATGTCTTTATATTTCTCTGAATTTTCTCAGTGTTTATTGTCCTGTCCTCCTTTTAACTTCTAATTTTGTTAATTTGGATATTCTCTCACTTTTAATTTTGTTAATTTAGATAAGGATTTGTTGATCATATTGATCTTCTCAAAGAACCAACTCTTTTGTGTTATTAATTCTTTGCATTTTTGTGTTTGTTTTCTTTTATTGATTTCAGCCCTGAGTTTAAACACTCCTTTTGTGTGTAATTTTTTAAAATTTTTGTTCTAGAACTTTCAGATGTGCTATAAAATTACTAGTATGAGATCTCTATATGTAGGCACTTATTAGTATGAACTTGCCTTTTACAACTGTGTACCAGCTTGCTCTTTGAATTGTTTTCCATAAGTTTGGTATGCTATGTATTCATTTTTATTCAATTCTAGAAAGTCTTCAACTTTTTTCAGGACTTGCTTTTCATTCAGTAGAAAGTTGTTCATTTTCCATGACTTGGTAAACTTTCTGTTCTGTTGTTGTTGATATTCAGTTTTAAAACACAGTGGTCAAATAGAATGCAGGGTGTTATTTCAATTTTCATGTATCTACTGAAACTTACTTTGTATCTGAGCACATGGTCATTTTTGGAGAAAGTTACATGAGGTGCTGAGAAGAAGGTATATTCTTTTGTGTTTGAATGTGCTGTAAATATTTGTTAGGTCCATTTGATTATTTTTTCTTCTCTCTCTGTTTCTCTCTCTCTTTTTGAGTTAGGATTTCTCTGTGTAGCCTTGACTGTTCTGGAACTTACTCTGTAAATCAGGCTGGTCTCAGACTCACAGAGATCCATCTGCCTCTGCCTCCTGAATGCTGGTTTTAAAGGTATGTGTCACTAGAGCTCAGCTGGTTCATTTAGTTTATACTTTAGTTAGTTCCAGAATTTCCCTTTGTTGTCTGAATGGCCTGTCTGTTGGTGAATGGGATAGTTAAGTCTTACAGTATCAGAATGGAAGGGTCAACATGTGATTTAAACTGTGGTATTTTGTTTGTTTTTTGTGTTGTTTTGTTTTAGAACTTGAGTGCCCTTGTGTTTGGTGCATAAATATTAAGAATTGCAATGTCCTCTTGGTGGATTTTTCCTTTCATGAATATGTAGTATCCTTTACTACCTCTTATGATTTGATTTGGTTTGAAATCTATTTTATCTGACATAAAATTGGCTGCACCAACTTGCTTCTTACTTGCGTTTGCTTGAGTTAACCTTTTCCATTCTTTTACCATTAGGTGATATCTATCCTTGATGTTAGTGTATGTTTTTTGGATGCAGCATGTTTCTTGGATACAGTAGAAGGACGAATCTTATTTTTGTATCCATTTTGTTATCGGTATCTTTTTATTAGGCAATTGAGACCATTTGATGTTAAGAAATATCAATGATCCATGATTACTGAGTCCTGTTATTTTAGTTCATGTTTTGTGTGTGTTCCCTCTTTTGGGTTGCTGATCTGGGATCATTTATTCTCTGTGCTTTTTTGGGTGTGAGTAACCTCTAATGTTAGAATTTTCCCTCTTGTGCTGTCTGTATGGCTGGATTTGCAGAGAGATATTGCTTAAACTGTTGTTGTTGCTGTTCTCTGTGTGTGTTCCCCCCCCCCCCCCCCCCCCGCCCGCCTCTTTTGATTTGTTAGTCTGGGATTATTTATTCCTTGTTTTTTATGTTTCCTGTTGTATCCATTTTGACTGTCATATCATTTTCTTCTATCATGTTCTCATATTCTCAATGCCTAAGGTTCTCTCTCCCATCTTTTATATTCTGTTGGTAAGGCTTGCTTCTGAGGTTCCTCTTTAAGTTCCTAAATTTTTCATTCCCAGATTTCCCCAGTTTGGGTTTTCTATATTGATTCTTTTTCCAATTACAAGGTTTGAACTGTTTTGTTAATTTCCTTTCACTGTTTGTGTTTTCATAGATTTCTTTAAGGAATTTTATTCATGTATTCTTTAAGGACCTATATAATATTTATAAAGGCTTTTTTATAAATATTTTATAACATTTATATTTGTTATATATTTTTATTGATAAAGCTTGTATTTGCATATTTATATAAATATTATAATATATGTTTTAAATGTTTTATAAATATTTTATAAATAATCATAAGGGCTCTTATTTCTTCATCTTGTGTTTCAACAATGTTGTGATTCTCAGGTCCTACTTACTGTGGAGTTGCTGACAGGCTTTAGTGGAGATGTATTTTCCTGGCTGTTATTGATTGTGCTTTTATACTGGTGTGTAGGCATCTGGGATTAGGAAGAATGTAATTCTAGGTACTGATATTTGTTCTTCTCTTTGTTGGATATGTGTTTTGTTCCTTGGTTTTTGTTACCTTCTGCTTTTTAGGAGAGTGTGCTGGCTGTGTGTTGCCTGGTAGGAAATTCTTCTGGGATCCTAATAAGTGTGGCCATTGGTGTTTCTGGGTAAAATATGTTTCAAGGGTTTTGGAGCTGACAAGTAGCAGTGGGGATGGGCTATGAGGGACGAACTTGAGAATCCACAGGAGGGAGGATGTTCCATTAGTATCTGCTTCGTCTCCTGGAAACATGGGCAGAGTGAGAAGCTGCAACAGGTAGTCTGCTGCAGAGCTGGAGCTGAGACTAGGGGACTGGATATGCAGGAAAAGAGAGAGGTGAAGATCTGCAGTTAGTCTACCTGCTTCCCTGGCTGGCATCAAAGCAATATGTGCTCCTAATTGTTGAACTATTGCTCTAGCCCTCTTTTATACTTCAGACGGTCAAATCATCACACACACAAACAGGAGACAGAAAGAAATCGAGAGAGAGAGAGAGAGAGAGAGAGAGAGATTTTAAGGTAAATTGATAGGACTTGGCACTCTCCTACTTGACTGAATGTGATAGAAATCTATAAATATAGAATCATTTTCATATTTATCTACTTTTATTTAAGAGATGATTGGGTGAATTTTATAATTATAAACATTGAATTTTAAAAATAGCTGATATTTGTTGGGCACTCATTATGCACTCAATAATCTTAAGCATATTGTTTTGTTATCTTTAATGTAACTAACACCTTGGAGTAGATTCAATTAAGCATACTCTGCAAGCTATGGAAGTCTAGAAAAGAATGTATGTCTTCCCCCAAAATCACTTAGTACATGACCAAATGGATGTGAACCTGGGTGTGTGTACTCAGATCTATTGCATTGTGTAGTGTTATATGGCTTGTGGTCTTGAATTGGAGCAGCTGTGATCACTTCCATAAGACTCTTAGAAGATTAAGCCCATAAACATTCCCTTTGCAAGGAGCTTAGCAGGTCTCTGAGTCTCAAGAGGCTCCGCTGCTCTCCTTTTCAAAGGTGTATAAGAGGTTAACAATGGCTTGGAGGTAATGACTTTGTTTCTGTAGTTGCCTTGAGTTGCCCACCCTCCTATGAACAATTCCTCACCCATGCTCCTGCTCATAACCTGGATCAAATCACTGGTTCCCCAGCTTAGACTTGGGTGGAATCTTTCTCCAGTCTGTCATCGCCGCTCTCTTTGGAGTGACCAGAAATAGACTCTCCAGGATGAGTCACACAAAAAACAGTCTTCTTTTGTTCCAATGCGGTGAACGTGGTTTCAGGATGTGGGGATGAGTTCTGTTTCAGTTGATACAGGTGGATTTTCTTCAGGCGCATGACGGACCATTATGCTATGGGTTGAAAGGTCATGTCAGTAGTCTGATTACGAGTTATGTTATTTAGACAGATAGAGCACCAGGGATCCAGTGAATGATCCAAAATGTGACCTTCGTGCTCCCACAGTTAGCTTTTTGTTCATTTGTTTGTTTGGCAGACGAAGACACGGTGATCCTCAGTAGGGCAAGCTTGAACTCTCCCTGCTTCTCCACTAGCCTTACTCACGTCATCACTATGCTGCCATGCCAGGAATGGGTTAAGTACGCTCCGCTTTCTCTTTTCCATATGATAATTCTTATCATGAGAACACATTAATCTTGTGCTATTTTCTGTTTCCATTACACTCGTTGTCGCACAGGTGGAGCATCAGAATGTTAATGCCTCGTGTCTTCTGTGAAGGATAGTAGAATTCGCCACTGCTTTGACCTTTCCGATGTGCTGCGTTTCGATTGGGTCTGGAAGTTGATGATTAATGATAATTACAATAATTACACCACGGGACTCTGTTCAAAGGAAGCCACTTGAAACATTTAATAGAATCTTGAACAATCTCTGTCCCGATGTCCCCGTCTCTCCTCCTGCACCTCCATCACATGTTCCTGGGTGAGTAGGTTGGGAAAGATTCGGCCTCGGTTGAAACCAGAAGAATAAAAGAGCTGTGATTTGTGAGTCATGTTTTAGTTATATGAAGGAGGAAAAAAGAAATCAATTTCTAAATCAATAGAATGGTCCTTTGCCCAAACAGCTTTGCTTAACAAAGAGTGAGCATTCCATAAAACACGGCTTGGCTTTCGATTCAGATCATTAGCTCCGGTTCCCATTAGCTAGAGGTGCCACGGGGAAAGGGGATATTTACTTGTCTCCTCGGCTCTGGTTGCTTGCCTTTAATTTTAGGGAAGTGTAGTTCTCTGGTATGAAGGGGTTATTCTATGCAGGCTTTGTACTTTTGTGTTCTGAGGCCGCCCAAACTGAATACTAATTCTCATGCATGTATGTTCTATCAGAGCCTTTGCAGTGAGCAAGATGCTAATTTCCTGAGGGCATCTTTTTTTTATATATATATAAATTATTTTTAATACAGAAATAGTAAGAGAAAACAGAATGAGGTTTTACTTGGAGATGGTTAACTGTTTTCTTCATAGTATAGTAAATTCTGCCTTACATTGTGGTATCAGCACAGTATATCACTACCAGAAGTTTGGAGAGGTCTCTGTGCTATTGGACATTCAAAGGGAATAATTTTCTAAAAACAAGCCATCTGATGGTATGCTGTGGACAGTATTTCAGCAAGATGGAGATTTCTTAAGTTTGGGTTCTGTTTCCACTGAGACACAGTAAGAAGTACTTAGCCATGCCAGTGTCTTTGGCTACTAGAAAGTGGCTTCCCCATGTTCCTTTGACCTCTGCCATGACCTCTTCTCAGAGGCACACCTCCCAAGAGGTTCTGAGGAGGGTCAGATTCAGGTAAGCTGACTAACCCCTAGGTCAAGATGCCTCAATGTTTAGGTAAATAATTTGGAATATATTTCTCCTCTGCAGAAAATCTCAATGGATTATGTTGGAGCACACATTCCTGACAGTTTAAGCTAGCACCTAACTCTTGAGGAATATTTCTATTCACAAATAATTTGATCTGGAGGTGTGTGTGTGTGTGTGTGTGTGTGTGTGTGTGTGTGTGTGTGTGTGTTTATTTCTGCTCATCTTAAACTTTTCCTCTTTGAGAGTTGTCACACTTCTTTTTGGCCTTCAGGATACCCATAGGACAAGTATAGGGCAGAAGGTTTTGTCTATGAGCATAGTAGAGCATGACTTTGAAGTAAGATTCATCGTCATGGCTACCTCTGGGCCTGTACTTCTCACTGGTAGCAGAAACAGAGCCTTAGAAGGACAAATATAAACTCTGCTCAAATGCCTGATCAGTTAGTGAACTGGCACAGAAGTATCTAGAAAGCTCCACTCTTCAAGTGGAGTCATGCTTTTGGGAGGTTTTTATTCTGCAGAGATATTCAGCGCTTGTAAACATGAACTCAAGCACATCCAAATGGTGACAGTTGATCTTATAACCTGGGCAGTTTCTATGATATTAAATTGCATCCTGATTATTTAGAAAGCACAATGCTTTTGATCAGCTACAGAGGTCATGCATGTGGAGTCAAGTATCTCATTACACTGTATTTTCTTTCAAATGCATTTGTACCTTTATTTAATTCTGCTGCTTGTTTCTCTGGCCTATTATTGCAGCCTATTATTGCAGTTTTAAAAATAACTCCTATTCCCACTCCTAGAAGTTAAAAGAAACACTTCTTTAAAAAAAGAAAACAAGTAAATGTAATGACAAAGTTAATATTCCAGTGTCTGTGTATTGTGTGTGTCTGAATGTGGACGTGAAAAAAGAAACAAAGTGGGTTCGCAGATGGTACCTATGCTAAAGGACTCAGTGATTGAAGGCAAAGTTCACCTTGCATTCTCTAGAAAGGAATGTGCCAGCTCCAGCATGGCAATACTGGGCAGTGTGCAAGGAACCAATGCAAATACCATAAGCTAGTTACTGTTCGGGGGTTGTTGACTTAGTTTGGATAGCTACCCATGCCATGAAATACTTTAACTGATGGACTCAGCCTTGAGTTTTATATGTAGCCCCAGTTGTTGCCACCCACGTCCATTCTTCTTTATAACCCTGGTCAGTTCATCTATGAAAGAGGAGGTTCTATGTACAAGTTTAGTTTGGCCCAGGATTAAAAAAAAAAGCATGAAGTTGCTCATCCTGAAGACAATTTTTAAGCATAGTGGAGCTTGACGCTTGGTGTCAGATGAATCTGTGAGAACTTTAAGGAACTCCTGGCAAAAACAGCCACGAGAGCTATGAGAAGAAAAAAAAGTTCCTGTTTTGACTCAGCTCATCTTTTGTGACTGACATTCCCAAAACTTCAAGCTGCTGGGCGTGCTGATCCCTAGTTTGTGTTGGAGCCTGTACTTTTCTGGTTTCTTTTTTCTTGATTGTCTATCTTTTGCATCTAGATTGATTTCTCTTTGCTTTGCTACCATATGACTTTATTTAGACCTCAGACCCACTGACTGATTCTATATTGAAGACCAGCTTCAAACCTCACCTTCCATCTCTTCCTCTTAATACAAGGAAGAGATATGTATAGAGCCAAGAGACCAAATCCCTGGTCTCGCAGAAGTGTAGACCTGGGCCATTATTTTGCAACTCCGTCAGCTAATATTTTAGATGAGCTGAACACAGTGAAGCCTGCATGTCCTTGGTTTGATGTGAGGTCATAACAATGTGGCTACACACAACTGACTGAAAAATTGAGGGACTACATTAACCAAGGTCCGCCTACACACTAAATCCACTGTACTCATTGTGCTGGACATAAACCAAATTAAATGGAGTAAGGGAATGGGTGGCTTCCAATAGTGGCTGTCGGCAGCTCTGTTTTTATTTGTTCTTGCTCATGTTTCAGAGGATGTGGTAGGCACTTGCTCATCCACTGGTGCTAAGTTGGAAGCTTCTGTAACCAGTCTAGGTCATAAGGATTCTATTTGTCTTCAATGGCAACAGCAACAGGATGATGCTCTACAACCAAAGAATACCTAATTCTGCTGGCCAAATTGGTCCCACTTCAAATGTCATAATTGCATTTCCTGGTCTTTGATAGTGCACTAAGGTATCATCAATGATTTTTAACTGATTATCCCAAGTCAGTGCCTGTGTCCTGTTTGTGTACCTGAGATACATATTTTACCAGTGTTATAAACTTTAACAACTGTAGAAGTTCGACCATGTGTGCATGCTGTTTAACCATAGTAATCTGCAGATACCATAATAAGCAGGAAATAATCATCCTCATTGGTGACTCCCCTGGACCTAGATCGCTCAATTCAGTGAGCTGCTTTCAGCATCTAAGCTCAGCTTGCTGCTTCCCACAGGTGGAGAATGTGACATCGACCTTTGAGACTAATATATTTTTTCTCATTTGTAGGGCTCCTGGTGGTTTACTTCTTCCTTGGCATTCTTCAGCAAAAACATCCACTTTGTGATTCCTCTAAAGATTGCCAACGTAAAACACTGAGCAAACTGAAAAGTCAGAGCACAAGCCCCTCTTCCGCTAGATATTAATCACTGGCTGGGAGTGAGTCAGAAGTCTGTGCTGCTGTGATTTCACTCTTCTACCCTCCAGGCAGAATCCTAGCCTTATTTGTGTCTTCGGGAGCACCCAATACACTGCTGGAGCTCCATAAATAATTAATTCCCCCCATAATAAGGGGGAAGCAGCAGCTTTCAAGAGGCTTCCTTCCCCTGTACTGTATAACTGGTGTTATGGTATTTTGACTATCAAAACAATGATTAAGCAGCTTTGGCACACTTCATATTTGGGCTAAATGCAATTCTGCTAATGCACCATTTCGTTCCTCCCTCCCCCAACACTCGTATTTTAATGATTTCTAATTAATATTGTAATATTTCTTGAATAATTCATGGTTTTAAACAAGAAAGGCTGGCACAAATTTATGTCAATCTGTTTGTGTACTGCAGAGCTGTGCATAACAAATAAACACAGGCTGCTTCCCTTGGAGACTGGGGAAGGGGAGGCAGGGAAGGAATGCATGGGAGAAAGGCTCTGGGACAAGGCTGCTCTGCACAGGTTAAAGGCTCCCATGTAGCCCTAGGAGCTTCCCCAGGGCACCTTTGTCTTTGCGATCACCCTTTATCATTCCATCTTTTCTCCAGGCACAAGCCTGAGGCCCTCACATTGCTCCTCCTTACCTGGAACTCTGCTCTTCACTGTGCTCGCTTCCCCTCTAGACCACCTGTCATTAACTCATCTTTCAGCTTAACTAAACATTGCTGGGGGATAGGTGTGAACTGTACTCTGATCACCAGGCAAGGCTCAATTAATAACAATTGGGTATGCGTTTATTCATTTTGCCAACAAATATTTAATGAGCACTGCTGTTTTCTTCAACAGTGAAGCTCTGGGGGCACACGGATTAGAGCCCTTTTGAGGGAATCATGGGCAACTCACACAATTCCTCTTTGCAGACTCCAGAAGGATCCATTTTTTCAGGAGGGAGACTTCTGTGGTTCCTTGTGGAGAGCTGTTGTTTATCCTTTCAAACAGTTTAGGTCACAGTTACTGTCATGTGGGGGCTTTATATTATTACTATCATCATTTTTATTAATGGAACAATCAGTTTCGAGGCTGGCAGAAACACTTCAGAATAGAAATATTGATAATCCAGAGCTTCTTGTTAACCCTACGTGGTGATACTCCTATTTGTTCAGGACTAATTTCATGTTCTGTTGAACTGATTATAAATTCTTCCAGAGAGCCAAACGCGGAGACTTCTTTGTGGATGGCACTTCCTCTTTCTCTGGGGTCAAAAAGGCTGCTGCTGTAAAGGCTGTTTCCATGGGGTATCTGTTGTTGTCAAGTGACTTCCAGTTCCATCCTCCCCCTTTCTAGTGGCTAGGGAAAAAAACTTTAATATCTATCATTTCTGTTGGCATTAAGACACTACCAATGCTGTGCTGACCCTGCTGCTGGGGCCATTAATGTGTGTCACTGTTAATTAGTAGCCATTGGAATACTGAA